CTCGAGCAACTGGCCTGACGCGTGATGTCCCCAGTCGGCTTTCTCAATGTGTGCCCAATCCATCTCCACTTCCTTCTGCATATTTATTGGGTGATAGGTTCTTGGTTGGTTCGTTCCCAGAGTTCCTTGTTGCTTATTCTTTCTGGCAATCCATCTGATCTTCAGTAGCGAGCGTAAGCAGTTGTTGACGAATGTCTGTAGTTTATTGGAAATCCCTTTCGTAACGCGCCAAGTCTCTGAACCATACAGAGGCACTGACTTGACGTTGGTGTTGAAAATCCAGATCTTGTTCACGCTTTATGCTGAGTGTAGAAGATCTCCACACTGGTTTCAGACTAATGAACGCCTGTCTTGCTTTTCCGATTTGACTTTGACATCCTCGTCTGTGCCGCCGCCTGTAGTTGAAACAGTGCTTCCTAGATAAGTGAAGGAGGTTACTTCCTTTAAGTTTCTCCCGTTGATGGTGATTGGAGTTTGTTGTTGGAGTTGGAGTTGTTGGTGCGGTATCTTCATCACTTCTGTCTTCTCTATATTCCACCTGAAGTCCCTTCTTCGCTGCCTCGCCTCTTCTGCCAACTTGTTAGTTTTCGCCTGTAGATCTTCAAGTTTGTGTGACATCAGGCACAAGTCATCGGCGAAATCCAGATCTTCTAAGTTCTTTTCCCTGATCCAGGCAGCCTACCCCCTCTTCTCGCTCCCCACAGTTGTTAGCTGCATGATCCAGTCGACCACAATCAGGAATATCATGGGTGATAGTAGGCAACCTTGTTTCACTTGGTCTTCACTTCCACTCCAAAGGCATCACTGAGCTTCCCATTGTGAATTACTTGGCTGGCATGTGGCGTCTTCATATAGTTGTTGAATGAGGCTGATAAAGGTTTGCGGTATTCCGCAGTATTGAAGCAGTTTCCAAATTACCTCTCGGTCGACTCTGTCAAAGGCCTTCTCAAAGTCGATAAAGTTGAGGTAGAGAGTTGACTGCCATTCTATACTCTGTTCTATGATGATGCGAAGCGTTGGAATTTGGTCCGCACATGATTTGTACTTCCTGAAGCTTGCTTGTTCCGGTCTTAGTTTTGAATCCAGAGCATTTTTTAGTCTCTCCAAGATGATGCGGCTTAATATTTTGCTTAGGGTGGACAGGAGAGTGATTCCTCGCCAGTTCTTGCAAACACTGAGGTCTCCCTTCTTCGGTAGTTTGACAAGGTAACTCTTCTTCCATTCAGTGGCCAGATACCTCCTCTACCTTCCACACATTCTACAATAGTGGTGTGAGCATGTCCGCTGTTGTCTCTGTGTCTGTTCTCAGTGCTTCTGGCGGGATCCCATCTGGTCCTGCTGCTTTGCCTCATTTCAGTAGCTTTATGACTCTCAGGACTTCCATTTTTGTTGGAGGATTTATGTTCACTTGTAGTTCAGCGGCCGCAGGTGGTATTTCTGGACGAAGTGCAGGTGGTGGTCGATTCAGGAGCTTCTTGAAGTGGTCGACCCGTCGTTTCCTTTGTTTCTCTTCTTTCGTAATTAAATTTCCATCATCATTTATTGGTTTCATCTATGTTGATCTCTTCCTAGATAGTAACCTATTTATTTGATATAGTGTTGTCAGGTTTCTGTGTCTCCTACCTGCAGCCTGTTCTGTTTCACTTGCCAATGTGTCGTAGAAGTGTCTTTTGTCTTTCCGTGCACTCTTCTTCACTTCTTTGTCCAGTGTAGTATTTTATACGTTGTACTCAGTTCTTCTTCGCTTTGTGCATCCTTGCACTGCACTGGTTTATCTTCTGCTTTACCATCCTCCTCTCCTGTATCAGCTTACATGTGTCCATCGGGATCCATTCCTTATCTTCTTTCTTCTTCCTTCCTAGTACGGCTGTGTAGGTTTCTTTCCACATCTATTTCAAAGACTTCCAGTGTTCTGCCACACAGGTTTCTTCAGGGATGTTCCTCGATATCTCCCATTTTGTCTTGATGGCTGCCGTGAAGATTTCCTTTATAGTTTCATCCTTCAGTTCCCGAGTGTTATACTTGAATTGAGGTCTATCACCAACTTCCTTGAAGGCTTTCAACTTGATTTTGAAGGTAGGTTCCTTTTACTAGGTAGTAAGTGGTGTGAACCTACATCTGCTCTCCTTCTTGACCTAGTGTCAAGTAGGCTGCGTCTCATCTTTCTTCAGATTGAGATGAAGTCGATCTGACTCTTAGTGTGTCCATCAGGTGAAATCCATGTGAATATCCTTGTGCTTGTACACAGTGCCTCCAATCACCAAATCATTAAATATGCAGAAGTCTGCAAACAGTCTCCATTCTCATTCATTTTATTGAGTTCTTCTCGACCCTTGATTGGTTCTCTTCCAGTGTTGTCCGCTCCCAGTTTGGCATTCATGTCACCAATTAAAATGAATTTTGATATCGTCGTTGACGTCTGGGGTTTTGTCGATTACTGATTTCAGTTGTCTGTAGAATTCCTTCTTCTTCTCTTCATCTGCATTATTTGTAGGTGCGTAGAGTAGTATTGTATGATTGTAACTTTCTTTCCTTTTGAGTTGAATCTTGCTGTCATGCTCCTGCTGGAGGATATCGGTTCCCACTCCATGAAAGCCTTCGATGCTGTTGGGACATCACGATAGCCACTCGAAAACTCAATGTGCTCGTGGTTGTCGTCTGGGTGACAATATCGGAGTAGATTATTGATTCTCCAGTTGACAGTTTGGAGAGTCCACTTCCATTCCATCTCCTTTCGCAGATTTCTATCACTTCTACGCTATACCTTCTCATTTCTTTTGCAATCTGGGCAGCCTTGCTAGGTGTTCATACATGGTGCGGACATTCCATGTTCCCATTCTTACTTTCGCCTACATCAAGAGAGAAGACACATCGGTCAATTGGCTTCCCGAAGGCTTTCACCAACCGGCGTCATTTCGTCCCTCCGATTCCAGCGATGAATAAGTTTGTTTTCAATTTTTATTTTTTCTTTGTGTTTTGAAGTTTCTTTAGCGATTGGATTGGTTTTAAGGGGTAGGGTTGATAGCCCTATGCGCAACCTTCCCTGTTTATGCGGGCTTAGGACCGGCTAGTAACTAGTAAACTAGTTAACCAGGCGAGGTTATTGGAAATGCCTTGGAAAATTATTAATAAGACCACTTGAAACCTTGCGAGAACTGCTTCTTCATTGGATGACAATGGTACAATTTCAATTTAACAGTGAGATTTACCGTCAAATATAAGGCATGACAATGGTTTCACTATTAGATCCCCGTCTAGCCGATATGCTCGTGGCAAACTTCTTAATGTTGATCACTGCATTGCGCAATAGACAAACTATCCTTCTACTGCACATACATGAACGACACTGTTATTCTGTAAAAAGTGATACCAATGCTGATATCTTTCTCGATACAATCAACAGGACTCATCCGGGAGTCGAGTTCACCTGTGAAACATTGAAAGATTGATATCTCATTTATGGATGTTTCGCAATTAAAAAAAAAATAGGTGGCAGTATCAGACGCAGCATATTTCGGAGAAAGTTATGGTTTCGTCAGTATACATACTTCTGAGAAATAAATAGATATTTTATTCTCGCATTATGAATTTAACACAAGATAAGCCAGGTTACAAGGATCATTACATTGATATTTGTTGAAAAATCTGCAAGATTTTAGCAGTCTTGAATAGTAAGGCAGGTAGGTCAATAATTCTTATTAAAAACATCAAAAGATTCTGCTAATTGTGAAACGAACAAGAAAATATCACTTCTCAGTATATACAGTGTTAAAGTTTAGATCGTTTGATCATTTGTTCCTACTACGTACAAAAGGAGTTTAATTCGTACACTCAAGGTTCAAACTAGGAAGATTTGCACAGCTGAAACTCTGTACAATGATAGAGAACTCCTTATAAGTGAATGGGTATCCTAAGAAGTTTGTAAAGACTGTAACAATGAAAGCTGCTGGAGAATAGTGCCTGTAGGTGGTACCGACGAAACAACTACATCTAACTGCAGCGTCCAAACGAGTTGCAGCTGTAGAAACACTGGAACTCAGAAATATGACTTTACGAAAGTGTCTTTGCCGTCATACTGTTTGCAAGTTACTCCTCGCTGTACGATGTCAATTCGTTTCGAAGATAGGCTACAGAATCTAGCCACATTTATATGTGTTCATAAATTTAACTGCTTTGTGGAGATGGTTACAAGGGTAAAACGACCAGACAAGTGCATTATCGCTCCACTGAACACTGTTCAATGTGGTTGAGAGAGCAAGCAGTAAAATCAACCAAAGTTCAGTACTCGTCTGTCTGTCTAGCAGACAATAAACATACGACTGACAAAAACTTGGCACTTACCACTATATACGGAATGCTATCGCAATACTCCAGGTTTGTGCACTCCTGACTGCTAAGCTTAGCAGAAACCATAGCAATAAAAAGTTTACACATAACTGATGCACACATTTGATAGATCGTTCTCCTTCCTTCCTCTCGCCTATAACTTCAACCCGAATAAAATTATAACGATTTGCCTCCCGACCACCCAGATTGATGTAAATGTCATCTTTCTTCGCATTCATATCGTCATCAGATATGGCTTAGAATATAACTCGATGGCGACCATTTTGCGGTAGGCAACGCCCTGAATCCACCTTATAAATCTAGTGGTTTAGTCATTTCGTGGCTTTTCCTACTTTTTCCCCATCGATGGTGTGTGACGCACTTTTCGATGCATATGTCGTACCGAATTCCGGTTTTAAGTTAGCAAGTTATTTCAAATTGTTACAAGTTATTCACAAAACTTAGAAAATTCTGCATGTCATCGAAAATTCATGGAACATTCATGATAGTAATTTTTTCATACAAAAATATGGCACAATCATTATTTGTCATACAAGTGAAGGAAACAACCACAACATTCAAGAATTTCGTTCCTCCTTAGTATTTGTTTTCTTTATTGGGGCGATGGCTGTTGTCGGTAGGAAATGGCTTGACAATATCTCTCCTCTTTTAAGTTAACTATTCTCCTTTATAAATTGCATTCGAAATACTTCACATAGTTTGCGAGCCTGCAAAAATGATGAGACATACGAAAAAAACGAGTGCATTACCTGTTCTGTTTTATGCGCGAAAATCGATATGAAACATTTTAAATTTCGAGCAGCCTGTTTAGGCTAACAGAGCGTAAAAGAAGTGGGGGGAATATTTATCCAAAGCAAGAGTTGCCATCCGGACAGAGGACTGTTTTCCAATTTATGATCTCGAGACCTAGGGAATTTTGATTCACTGCGAAAATGTTCAGTGCATTATTTAGATGATAAAGCTGAATGTAGTGGTGGAAAAAACAATCCGGTTCATCCAGCTCTCCGAATGTGTGGGTGGTAATATTCATAGTGGTTCAAGTGCTATTATACCTCAAGTTCAACGTTATACTTTCCAGATCATAGTAAAATAGCCCTGATACGGTACCGTTATGATATTGGTTCTCCTGTGGATTTCTATTTATCTAACAAATCTTGTGATTCGTCGATGAACTTCAAAAGTCAATTGAGACGCTGATTAGATTTTCTTGGTACCTGGATGCTGACTCACCTTATTTCAGAAGCTGGTAATATTTTTTCATAATTCGCACCCGCATTCAATCTGCCTAAGGATAACAGTACTTGAAAGGCTCTTTGATCAGTTGATTTAGCCTTGAAACCGAATGTAACCCTCTCCTTTTCGCCTCTGAAAGGCATCGGTCCCGTTTAATTAGTACCTGATATTCATTGTGACATCCCTTTTGATTTCCTTTTTCAATAAAACATCTCATCTTTAAATGATAAAATTTAAACTTACTTTCAAATGGCCAAAGCCGGGACATTTTTCCAAAGTTGATTGATCAGCTCGTATTATGTCAGCGACTGTCTGAAAAGTTACAGCAGGAAAGGGCTAAACTTCTGATTCTAGAAAGATAGTACGTTAATTGGGATCTTAGGTAGGTTAATTACAAACATCATGACGGCGCTAGAGGTGATCTAGATTGGTTGATGTTGCTGTGGTTTTCCGTATACAGTTAAAAATCTAAGTCGCTCCTTTATCAGCACTCATAAAACTACCCAAATATACGAACTTTCCGAAATCTCCTAATGACTGACGGCGAAAGGTGAGTTCATATACAGATTCCTACCAACCTCACTGACGCACTTCCCACTTCGATAGTACGAAGCAAATATCATACTTATAGAGACTGATCGCAAAATGACGATGCGATTTGAGTATTCTAGAGCAGAACGATGTCTGCTTGCTGTAGGTCGAGAAGTATTCAACTTGTAACACGGTGCACTTCCGTCGGAGCTGTCTTGAGAATGCCATAGATGAGAAAAGTGATGAGGAAAGGAGAAATTAGTCAGCTCTGCCTAATCCCACCGTTGGTTTTAGAACAATAAAATGCAGTAACTTTATTTCTTCACCCTACTTGAGGTTTTCAAGTGTGGGGCTGTTAAAACACTAACGAACCTCTTACGGACAAACTTCTCTGAAATAGAATTCCAAAACATAGTCCCATACAAAGAATAAAAGACATTTCTAATATTAAGTAATCATAACAGTCGTTGGTCTGTCATACGTGTGACGATAAACACATGATCTATACATCCACAGATTGAATTAAATTTAAGCTATCTCTAGCAGATAAGTTTCTCATGAGTTTTGAAGAACCTGTGAAGCATGAATGCAGTCACTATTTCAGACAGTTCTGGACAGACTGATATCCCGATGATTATCGCATACATTATGCGGATCTTTTTCAAAGATAGGTAACACCATAGCACCATTCCAGAGAAACGAAGTAGTTCCGGTTTGCCATACCTTCCCAGAGAATTTAATCCGTTCCAACTAGTGCTTCAGGTGTCTATGGAAGTTGGCGATCGGCTTACCAGCTACTTTACAGACCGTCTCAGTCATACCAGATGGTTGTGATAAACTCACTACAAGCATTTTCAAATTGCTACTCAAAGAGTCCAGAAGATTGTTAGCGTCTTCACTTAACAAAACAGCGTCATTTTCATACTATAGGTCTACTAAGGATTTTCCTGTGACAAGTTCAATCCACATGAAATTAGATGACGACAGAGAGGCCCTCAATAACATCTATGATGGAGATGGATAAGAATGGAGAGAGTGCACATCATTGACGGATACAACCCACCACAGGCTCTACCGCACCCACAGGTGTTCGAGTACAGAGCCTTCAACAAAGTGAGTGGTGTACGTACTCGCCACACCTTTCGGTGAGAGACAACGGCCATAAGACAACTCGATCAATGGAGTCGAGTGCAGCCTTTAGGTCAAAAAAATACAGCTAGCGATGGGCGCTGGTAAGCGTGCCTGTGTTCAAGAACTCGGAAGCGTCAATATTTGGTCGAACAGATCTGAAACCTGCCTGCCTAGTTTTCTCAATTTCGCTTTCCCTGAGGTCCACTCAGAAGTCTAGTGAAGCTACAACCTATAATTTTAGACACTACGTCATCAAAAGAGAACCTCTCACCTTTCTTGAAGACTGGGACAATTAGGGATGGCGACCAGTCAATAATCCACCACAACCATCCTTAAATACCTCGAACTACTTCCTCTGACCCTGCTGCTCTTCCTCATTTCAGATTGCCTACAGCTTTGTCTACTTATGCAGATGTTGGGAGTTCTATTTCGATGTTCCATTCAGGACCCGACAGGATAGGAAGTAGAAGCCAGTTGGAATGTTTATTGAAGTGTTTCACCCATCGTTCTAGTGAGTGAGTGAATCACTGACGTGTACTTTCCCACGACAGATTCCCTAACCACTGACCTTTTCGAACGAGTTTCCTTGATAAATAAGTACTTATCAACTGTCTAGCCAGTTTCTTACAGAAAGCGACCTTAGTGCTTTCATTGACAAGCCGCATTCACAATCATCTTGTTGCTATAGTTTTCCTACATCCATTCAAGCGCAGGCATATACGTGCCTTAACCAACGCAATGGTCGCTTCCAAACATATGTTCAGAAAGAGTGGCAGTTTTGCATCGGCCTTCCCAGCGGTAATTGATAGCAATATGATCTGTATGTGTCGACCGCTGTGTTGAATTCGGTGGATGTCACGTCAAACGATGTCAGTTTATGTTTAAAAATCGTACTGCCCAAAAATAAATGGTTCTTTGAACATAGCTATAGATGTTGCAATAGTTTCCGGATATTTTCAGATGCAGTTGCTGCTTCTGTTTCACCAGGGCATTCTGATCAACAGGCCTTGCGATCCCTACGCAAACGCTGTTTGATATTCCGCTTAGGGAGTCTTGTGTACAGTTGCTACTTCCTGGCTACCCACACCAAGGAAGACTAGTTCTTCTTGAGGTAGCTGTAAAAGAAGGGATAGTGTATGACCACAGAGCCCAAGGGACATCTGCTTGTAGTCGGTCACACAAGTCGTTTCTACAGCTTTGAGATTTTGGTTATTTGCCTTGCTCTTTATGGAAATCACGCATACCAATATGCTCGCTACTTGCTATTGGAGATAATTGCAATGTGGGTGCGAATGTGACTGAAGGAGGTAGGACGCTGGGCAGTACAACAACGATGGTTGTGCTTCTTAGGAAAAGGTGGGGATGCGTGCAAAGCTGAAGAAGATGATTAATAAATATAAGAGTAAAACTTGAGCACTGTGGTGGAATGTAACTCCATTTCAGTTGATTTATTAGATATTACCATAGAGTGGAACAGTATTGTTTACTGGATTACGTTCCAGATACAATTTATTGTGCTTAGACATGTCAAGATAACTACACAAATCTAGTTCTAAAGGAAGCGATAAAATTAGATTTATATAAAGCATATCTCGAATTTGTGTAGTTAACTTGACATGTCTATGGACTACAAATTGAATCTATAAGGTAATCCGGTAAATAATACTGTTCCACTGTGTGATTTACTTAATAAATCAACAAAACCGAATTACAGATGTTCCCCTTTATCAGACCTGCGACTGACTGATCCCCATTGACCACCTAAACTACTCATTATGGAGTCCACACAATAATTTTTGAACGCATTTGGTTGATGAGATCAGTCAACCGATATTTAAACTAATCCTTAACTGTATCTATGCTTTAGTAAGTCAGAGCATCGGCAAAGATGACGATAAGACGTGGTTTTTCTAGCCATTTACTTTTCACTCCAAGCCAGATTACCAGCCTAATACCTGAGTATTCCGTCATCAACAGCAAAACATATATTAGAAACTGGTCATAAGATTGATATAAAGACAGCCTTTACTGCGCTGTATAGATATGGTCAAAGGACGAATACTTAGGTTTATCAGAGCACCTGCTATCCACAAATTAAAACCCTTTCTATGTTTTCAGAAACAATTTGTACTCACACAATCCTGGTAGTAGTATTAGATTAAACTCTTCATACCATTGGTCGTGGTGATCCGACCTTTTGTTATCACTTTTCTTCTCTTGTTTTCGTCCTGACCTTGTTATCTTTCTTGATTATAACTCCATTGGCGAAATTAACCTTTCTAAGTTCTATATAAATTATTCGACAAGTTCATGTATAGCGCTAATACATCACGTTTCAGATAATCTGCATCTTCCAATTATGTTGTTGAATAGGGTTTGCTAACCATTTTTATAACCTTTTTTCTTGTCTTTTTCAGACATTTATACCGGGACAACATTGAGGTAGATATTGGGGCAGACTGTGGTGCTCAGCGTCTCGTGCTTTTTGTGTGGGCGTTTCTTACTTATTGCCTGATTAATCATTCAGACGAGGTTATTGTAAGTGTGAAGCATTCTTAACTATTGTTTTTACAGGGTTCGCCATCTCTCCCGGATTGCAAAAAGCTTAGTGACAGTGAGCTGGGGGTCACGTAGAAGCGGCTTACACAATATTTACGAACTATTTAGAGATTAGTTGTTTCTTTAGTAATCTAATTAAAGTTCTACTACTGATGATTTCTTGGTTGTATTGTGTTCCCTGAGCTGGGTTGTTTAATTTCTTCTTTGCAAGGGTGTTGCTAGTGGCTTAAATCCCACGGCTGTTCAGAGTTAAGTTTAACGATTATGTTTATTGTTGATACTATTATCGATTATTACCACACTTCTAGGCTTAGCAGTTCTTTAGAATCCACTCCTGATACTGTCGATACACACTAATAGTGGCTGTTACATTGGTACCATGGTGGTCGGGCTTGCATATAACAATGACCCAACGAGTTGCAGTGGTTAGAATAATTGTTTCTTAAGGTGTGGCCTTGTGCATAGTGATGAGACAAAAAGCAGTTATTGTTATAACGTAAATTGCTACACAATGATACGTGTCGTACGGCTAGGTGGCCGATGTGTAATGAATGTAATGTATTTTCCACGGGTGATCAGCAGTGCTATACTGGTGCTGCTTTTCTGATGGGAAAGGGGTGTTATAAAAGCACATTTTTACCTGCCACATGGTCTTTTTATGCCGGTGCTATGTGATTTCCTACCTGGGATTAGAAAACCCAAGTCTCAAAGCAACAATACTCGGTAGGATGTGTGACAGGCCTCAAGCAAATTTCTTTTAGGCTCAGCGGTCTCCAAACGTTTCCTCCTTCATGTACTCTACAGAAGAATTTCACGGTGTGGCTGGTTGCGAAGTATCGGTCGTTCGCACGCTCCGAGTGGTATATAAAATCCAATCAAACAACCCACACCCCTTACTTCTGTCTCCTACGCTGCATTCAGCTCCTCATATCAATATTGAGCCTCTTACAATCTAATTGATACCCCACTCTGCGACCATTGCCAATGATCAATGCCAGTCTTCTAAGACCCAACTGTCAATTACATATTGGAGCTTTCGGTGCCTGAAGCCTAGGTAAACATCGCTCACCAGAACTGTAGAATTTCGCGCC